CGCCCCGGGGCGGCCGCGGCCCTGGGGCTCCCGGCGCTGGGCCCGCCCCTTCGTGGGTCGCTGTCACCTGCGCTGCTCCTCCCGGGGTGGGGAGGGGAGGGGTGGGGCTGCGGGTGGGAAGGGGTGGAGGTGATGGGGGAGGGATGGTAAGGAGGAGGTTGGGTAGAGAGAGGTGAGGGTGAGGGGTGGAGGGGAGGGTGGGGATCAGGAGAAGGGTGGGTCTCTGAGGGCCACGTCCAAGGTAGATTCAGCCTCCAGCTGTGATCCAGATTCTTGCTGCGGGTTGGGTGGCTTGGTGATGCTGGCTACAGACAGTGGCAGCGGAAGGAGGAGCAAAGGGGTGACATGGATGAAGATGCCTTAGACTCATTAACCGATTGGTTGATAGACACTCCTCTGTATAACTACTTAAAGATAATGTAACCTTGCCAGCCCTGGGGCGTGAGCCCAGGGCCTGGGCACTGTCCCAGAGCTGCTTTTGCTCAAGGCTAGCACTCTACCACTTGAGCCACAGCGCCACTTCTGGCTTTTTCTGTTTATGTGGTGCAGAGGAATCGAACCAACCCAGGGTTTTCATGCATGCTAGGCAAGCACTCTACCACTGAGCCACCTTCCCAGCTTAATTTAACTTTTAAAAAAGATGCATCGTCTTCAACGCATTGAATTTAATATCCCTGAGCGCTGTCCCTGAGCTTTCTGGCTCAAGGCTAGTGCTCTACCAGTGCGCTGTCCCTGAGCTTTTTGGCTCAAGGCTAGTGCTCTACCAGTGAGCTACAACTCCACTTCCAGCTTTTTTGGTGGTTCACTGGAGATCAGAGTCTCGTGGACTTTTCTGCCCTGGAGCTGAGTTTGAACTTGGCTCCTCAGATCCCAGCCTCCTGCATAGCTAGAATTACAGGCGTGAGTCATGAACAAAACCCCTCTGAAACCCCTTTTGTACAAGATAACAGCAGATATTGGGCTGGGCGATCTGAATGCAGGCTTGCAGCCATTGTTATTTATTCTTACCACTAAGTAATTTACTGTCAGGTAAGTGCCTTACGCATGTGACACAGCCCTAGGACTTTGTATAGTGGGTACCAAGTACTACTACTTAGTCACAGTGCCATCTCTTCCTGCCAGTCCCAAGGGCTTTCTGCCTCATTTCTCAGATTTGCTCCTCCTGCCAACCCACCCCCTGGCTTCCCCGGGCATCACTCATCATGGCAAATAAAAGCTTCAAGGTTGAACAAAAGCACCAGCACCAGGGATGGTCACATCCAGAACCTCGGGGCAACTGGCATGGACTCAGTCCCCAGCACCATTTGAGGAGAAAGAAACTTAAGTGCAGTAGCCTCCACAACCTGCAGACAAGCTAGCTAATGGAGGCACAGTAATAGTCAAGGAAGGAAAGAGCAAAACTTACTTGAAGAAAGAAGGAAGAAATACACAAGTGGGAAGAATTCGAATTGAGAGGAAGAGAGAAGAGAGGATTAAAAACTAAGTACTAAGCTGGGTACTGGTGGCTCAGGACTATAATCCTAACTACTCAGGAGGCTGAGATCTAAGGATAGCAGTTCAAAACCTGGCAGGGCAGGAGAGTCTATGAGACTCCTATCTCCAAGGAAGCACCAAGAAGCTGAAAGTGGTGGGTCAAAGTGGTAGAGTGCTAGCCTTGAGCAAAAGAGCTCAGGGGGAGCACCCAGGCCCCGAGTTCAAGCCCCAGGACAACATTAAAAGAAAAAAAATTAAGTGCTAGGTGTACTGAGCCACCCAATTCCATCACTTAGTAGCTGAGGCAAAGAGATAAGAAGTTGGGCCCCAGCCTAGACCTTACAGCCAGAACTTGTCTCAAAGAAGAAAACAGCACAGGACAAGGAATTTGATATGAAAAGAAAAAGAGATGAGGGGGGAAAAAAAGATAAATTAGCTGGGTGCAGGTGGCTCATACCTATAATCATAGCTACCGAGGAGGCTGAGATTTGAGGATCATAGTTCAAAGCCCAAGTGTAAAAAGTCCATGAGAGAATCTTAACTGCAATGAACCACCGAAGAGCTGGGAGGGGAGGTAGGGCTCAAATGGTAGAGTACCAGCTTTGGGTGAGAAAGCCCAGTACACACTACACATTCACACCCACCCCTCCACCCCCTCCCACACCTACATATACACACAGGATAAATCACAAAAAAAGGTGTTAAGGTTTAACTGATTGGTCTGATCAGAAAAGTATAGGAAAACCACCATTCAACAAAAATAGACACCACATAGGAGAGGAAAAGATAGAATTAAAGAAATGTAAAATATTGTAAAAAGAAGCTACGTTTCGAATCCTGTAGGGTCAGTTACTGGGGCCTCCCCCCACGCCCTGCCTCACCCCTCCAGAACATGCTCTCTGAGCTGTTTGGCTTCCTTTTTTTTTTTTTTTTTCCTCTCCCTTTGGACATTCACCTAGCAACAGGAGTGCGAGGTTGGTTTGTGGGCAGAGCCAGCGGGGAAAATCCTGGGTTGCCCTACATCTCTGGGAGGGGTGGGGGCAGTTTGTGAGCTTTCTATTGGCTGGTCGTAGGCCACCTTAATGTCTGATTGTTGGGCCAGGGAAGGCCTCTGGGGACACAGCAACCTGTGCCAAGACAGAGGTCCTTCTTAACCATCCCTCCTTCCTTCCTCCTGAGTCTGTGGTAACCAGCTTCCTGATGGATAAGCCTCGAGCAGAAACCCCTTCCTGTGACTTGCACCTGCTGCGTGCCATCCTCCGCATCTCTGACTCTGATGAAGGGGTCTCACTTTTACTCTGGCCTGTCCAGTCTTAAATCCTCTAATGACATGTCCAGCAGGGCTGGAATGACAGCCGCCTACCACCACGCCCAGCTTTTTGTTTGTTTAGATGGGGGTGGGGGGGGTGGATTCTCGGACTTTGCCTGGGCTGGCTGCATGTCAGTCCTCCTGATTTCAGCCTCCAAATAGCTAGGCATTGTGTCTGTTTATGTCCTTTGTTATGTGTGTGTGTGTGTGTGTGTGTGTGTGTGTTAACCTTTAGTTTTAGATTCTGTAGGGAGAACACATAGTATTTGTCTTTCTGAATCTGGCTTGTTTTGCTTAATACAGCGATTTCTAGTACTACCATCATTTCATGACTAATCCATTATATATAATTGCACTATATAGGAATACATACACACATTCTCACATTTTCTTTATCCATCTGTTGCTGAGCATCTAGGACTGCTCCATATCTCCTTATCTATTGTAAATATTGCTATAAACAATATCTTTTTTTTTTTTGTCAGTTGTGGGGCTTGTACTTGGGGCCTGGACCCTATCCTTGAGCTCTTTTGCTCAAGGTTAGTGATCTACCACTTTGAGCCACACCAGTTTTCTGGTGGTAAATAAGAATCTCACAGACTTTCCTATCAGGGCTGGCTTTGAACCATGATTCTCAGATATCAGCCTCCTGAGTAGCGCTATCAGTGTCCGGCCCAGTTATGGCCTCTCATATGTGGAAATATGTTCCTTTTGTTCTTAGTGCGTTCAGGGTTTTTATCATGAGGGATGTTGAATTTTGTCAGAGGTGTTTTCTGGATCTATTGAAAGGGCTGTGTGATTTTTATTTATTTTATGCCCTTTATTCTGTTTATATGTTGTGTTACATTGATTGATTTGCATGTATTAAACCATCCTTGCATCCCTGGAGTAATTTTGATCATGGTGTTTGATCGTGAATTTTGTTTACAAGAGTTTTATTGAGAATTTTTGTGCCTGTACTCACTAAGGAACTTGGTCTATTATCTTTTTTTGTTTGTTTTTATTAAATATCTGGTTAAGTGGTTGAGGAGTTCTTGTTTCAACTTCGGTAGGTCATATGCATCTGGAAATTTCTTCTGAATTTTCCAGTTTACTAGAATAGAAATCTTTGAAGTATACTCTGAATTTCTGTGGCGTTTGTGTTGATTTTCCTTTTCTCACTTCTTATTTATTTGGGTCTTTCTTCACTTTTTTGGTTAGTTTGGCTAAGGGTTTGTTGATTTTGTTTATGCTCCCCAAAATCTACTTTTTGTCTCATTGATTCTTTTTTTTTCTTTTCTGTCCAAGACCCAGAGCTCAAACTCATTATCTTTATGCTCATTGGCAGGTGCTTTACCACCTGAGCCATGCCTTCAAGCCCTCAGTGATGCTTCATATTACTCTTGTAGTCACCATTTTGTTAATTTCGATCTTGATTATTTTATTTCCTCCCATTTATCTCTTTAGGGTGTGGCTTGCTCAGATACTTCTCCTGAGTTTACTGACCTGAACTCTGATGTTTGTAATCAAGGCTCTCATTGCTCTAAGCTTTCCGCTGAGTGACGCCTTTGCTGTTACTATAAGTTGTTACAAATAAGGGATTTTTCTTTAAAAATACAAATTTCCCTGACACAAAGGTGAACTTTTTGGAGCCGGTATGTCTATAGTTTCTTAGAATAAGAAGCTCAAAATAATCTCTTAGTTAAAGAGGAGTTTTGGGGTTGGGCTACCTGACCCCTGTCAATCCTTTCTCTCTTTCCCTTGATTCAGTTACCCTACCATGACACTGTTTAAACAAGCAAGATCTTTTTTTTTTTCTTTGTTTAATCAGTCATGGGACTTGAACTCAGGCCTAGATGCTGTCCCTGAGCTTTGTTTTTGCTCAAGGCTAACACTCTGCCACTTTGAGCCATAGCACCACTTCCGGTTTTCTGGTAGGTAGTTGGAGATAAGAGTCTCACACACTTTCTTGCCCGGGCTGGCATTGAACCGGGATCCTCAGATCTCAGCCTCCAGAGTAGCTAGGATTACAGGCGTGAGACACTAGTGTCTGGCTGGCTGGCTGGCTGGCTGGCTGGCTTTCTCTCTTTCTTTCTCTCTCTCTCTCTTTTGATTGTTTTTCTGGTGCTTTAAAGTCTTTTAAACTTGGCTTCTTTTTTGGGGGGGTCCAGTCATGGGGCCTGAACTCTGGGCTTGGGTGCTGTCCCTCCGCTCTTCAGCTCAAGGATAGCGCTCTACCACTTGAGCCACAGCGCCACTTCCAGCTTTTTTCTTTCTGCTTATGTGGTGCTGAGGAATCGAACCCAGGGCCTCGTGCATGCAAG